AGCAGCAGCAGCAGCAGCGGTAGAAGCAAGGGCGGGACCAGTAGTTGTAGGAGGCCGGAGAAGCAGCAGCAAGAGGATGAGGAGGGTCAACGACAAAAAGGATCGCCGCAGCAGCCCAATTCCGTCGTAGTGCAGTGCTTTGGCCCGTCCTGCTCCACTAACTCCTGAATGTCGGGCATGGCCGTCGTCCTTGCTAAGGCGCAGTCGTAGCTTGGTGACCCAGATAGGAGCTGAAGGTTTCCGGGACTAGAAAATGGTGCAGAGGGTTCAAGCTAGTAGCTCCAAAATGTCGATTTCCGACCTCGACACGGGCTCGAAGCTTAAGGATCCTGGCTGACATTTGTAATCTAGAGCTCAGGGCCTCGTGGCTGCGGGCTTCAAGATGGGCGGGCAGGTTGCTACTATTGTTTGCCTTCTCAAACAAGTCATTAACCTTCGTTGGATTAGTGAGCTTGTAAGTGTTAGCAGGAACTGGTCGTAGTGCAGCACTGCAGCTGCAGCAGCAGCAGCAGCAGTAGTAGTAGTTGTTGTTCTTGTTGTAGCAGCAGCAGTCGCAGCAGAAGCAGTCGTCGTCGTCGTCGTCGTCGTCGTCGTCGTCGTCGCTGTTGGCTGTTCTTCTTGTGGTGTTGCTGTGGTCTGTGTTCTACTTGTGTTTCTGTTCTGCTCGTGGTCGTCATCGTCGTCGTCTTTGCCTCGTGCTTGGTAGCCTTACGCTGGTGTAGGCCCGCCTTGAGGGTTTACTCTTCAGTCTCTGCTGATGTTCGTCGCTCGGTTGCAGCATTCCAAACAATTTCTTTCTGTTCTTTTCTCATAAGTTGAAGAGGTGCCTGAACTCCGGAGAAGCAACAAACCCGTTTGACATCTGCTTTCTGCCCCAAGGCCATGAGAAGCAACAGAACACCATCGGACGGTTCTTAGCTTCAGACTTAGGCTGCGGGGTTGAGGGCCCCCAGTTCCAAGCCCTTGAGCAGAGCGTCAGACAGCGTGATCTTCAGGTCAAAACTGGCCGCCCTGCGAGTATTCTAGCCTTCCGCTTTGTGTGGTCCGAGCGGCTTAACCCACAATGGCTGCGACGAGCACTTGGTAGTGTGGGCTTTCTGTGAGGTCTTGGCGCGTAGGTCCCCAAAACGAACCAGTATATCATGTTCAAGAATTCGTCTCTTTCCCATCATTTCTGCATTTCTATCACTGTTACAGTCGTTACTGTTGTTATTGCCCTTATCTCTATGGCCTGTTGCCAAATTGCTGCCCGTACTCTTCTATCGCAAAGACAGATATCAATACCATCACTTCCCTCGCTCTTTAGCCACTGCTGCTCCAGCATTATTGCTAGCAGCTGCGGTAGGTTACAGGGCCCACTGTCCCCTTCGGATCTTCCGTCTGAAGGGCGCAGAGGCCCGGAGCACCGAGCATCTGAGACCACAGACACATGGCAAAGTCTTCCACGTCTAAAACGGCACGTCAAGGCTTGAGGTCTCTTCCACAAAAGGCCCCAGAAGCCGAACCGCGACCCCAGCGGCCTTAAGGCCTGTGGTGATCAGAAGCTCAAAACGCCATAGAAACGATCAGAAAAGCTGCTAAGACTCGGCCCCGCAAGGTGTAGTGTTTGAGGGTTGAGACCTGCAGCAATCAAAGTTCCCTGAGGTCGCAGGCCGGGACGGCCCACTTTCTGCCTGGCGATGGGTCTTTAGTAGCTTTCAAGCTTTGAGGCTTGGGGTTTAGGGCTACTCCACTCAGAACTGCACAGCCCAGTGTCCACGTCGCCTGACCCTTCAAACATCCCAAACCCTAGATCCCACAAAGTCTGATACCTATACATATATATATATATGTTTTGAAAACGAAAAAGTATATGTGTATATACATCTGCATCAGCTGCATTACCCCGGGTCGCCAACCTTCCAGTCCGAGTCTCTTTGTTTCCAGCGCAACCCCGACACCCTGAACCCCTCAATCCTTACTGTGAAGCCGCGATACCTGAAGCACTGAGTTTCAGGACAACAGCCAGGAGACAACTCAACCCTCACAAGCTCGAATTCCTAGACTCTGAGCCCCTGACGCCAATAAAATATCATTTAAGCTTCCCTGGCACACCGAGAACCCTAGTGTAACTCTTCATCCATAGTAGGTCTCCAGGGCCTTTCCTAAACAAGTGGAATTTTTGCGGGGGGCCCAGAGAAAAAAGCCGAAGTTATAGAAACAGCCCCCAAAAAAAGTCAGAGGGCCCTTTGTCCTCATTTGGGCCGCCTCGGCGTCGTCGGGGTCCTCGGAGTTGACGTACGCCTCACTGCGGGCGCAGTGCCCGGGCCTCTCGAAAAACGGAAAGAGCTATGAGGGTTACTATTTGGGTGACTGTAAGGATTAACTATGAGAGTTAGTACAAGGGTGACCAGAAGGATTAACTAAACGGGCTACTATAAGGATCACTTTAAGGATTACTATGAAGGTGTAAGATTGCAATCAGAGGGGCACGAAGATTTGGGGGACTTGGGAATTGGGGAGTTTATGGTCTAGGACGTTATCAGAACTTTTTTGTTTTTGACACCTCTTCTCCACCTGCCTAGTAGTTGGGTCGAACGCCAATGTTTTGCATTTAGGGTTTATGATGGGTTGGTCACTATCCTACTGTTGATGATATAAATCCTGCATTACCTTAAGGACCCTAAACTACGGGTCCTTATTACTACGGGTAATGCAGGGTTTATATTATCAAACCGTATTGCCATGACCATGGCTCTGATCATCAGCACCATGATTGCGGCTAGACAACCGAAATGGTAGCAGCTGGAATCGCATGGACAGCATTGACAGATGCTCACGACAACGCATCACAAGTAGTCTCTTGGCACTGGCTTCAATCGTATCTATGATTGGGCATATAGGCTCTGAGCTTGACAGGCTGAAGTAAGCCTAGCGCGCAGGACCGCTAACTGGGACTGTGGGGATTGCAGCTGAGGTCTTGGACTTGAGGCTTGGGGTTTGCAAGTGATGATTGCTCCAAGCTTGAGTTCCCGTTAAATTACGGCCATCTACGACGGCATGAACAAGATCAACAGCAACAAAGGCAGCTGCACACGAAGAAGAACAAACCAATATCCCGTCGGGGCTCACTTCGAGTCCCGGTCAAACCCAGTTTGCCGGAGGGTTTGGCGTGTTGTCTCAGCATTTCCAAGATAGGGTGCTGGATGGGGTCCGGACCGGTCGTCGGAGCATGTGCGCCAGGCCGTTGATCTAACATTTCTACGAGAATGATCCCAAGTCCATAATCCTGACCTTCCCGAAGAAGAAAATCCTAACGCTCCAGCAAACCCCATCATTTCCCCGCAAACTAGTTGCAGACCTGATCCCAAACCGCAAACAACCCTTGCACCGGAAACGCTCTTTGAGGACACCAAACCCACGACCCTAAGTTCCACGGAAGCCCGGTAGATCCCTATGGGCCTACCAACCGAGCTCTGGAAACTCGCAAAAAGCAGGGTCAAACCCTAAGTACCCTAAACCCTAAACCCTAAAACCCTAAGTACCCTAAAACCCTAAACCCTAAAACCCTAAGTACCCTAAGTACGCTAAACCCTAAACCCTAAACCCTAAACCAAACCCCAAGTACCCCCAACTCCGTGGCCCGGGTTCTCTGTGACCCCCGGCGCTGGGCATCTGAGCCGACATCACACCTGGAGAACCCCCCGGTGGAGCGGCTCGAGGGCTTGAGGCAGCTGCGGCTTTATAGGGTTTAGGGCTTAGGGTACTTAGGGTACTTAGGGTACTTAGGGTACTTACGGTTGTAGGGTTTAGGGTTTAGGGTAGA